TCTACACGTCGGGCCGCGATTACGAATGAACAATGACGTTTTGGGCTGGTGGTAATCACTCGCGAAGTAACATAATGAGGTTAACCGCCGAGTTAATCGACTTTCGTCTCCGCGACGATTGTTTTCGTTTGTTAATCGCGATTCTCCATCCGTGTCTGATATGTCTAACTCTAACTCGTTTCTGTGCACGCGTGAATTGTTACAGTGTTACAGGATATTTTTTGTTGAGTGAATTTTAAATTCATCTTGTGTTTATATATATGTGTGTGTGTGTGTGTGTGTATTTTGTGTTTTCCATTTATGTTTGCGTTTTCATCTTCTCTGTTTGTATTTTGCATTCTGTTTGTGGTTTTACTTTCAGTTTATTTGGTTTGGAAAATGTGTTTTTATTTATTTATTTATTTATGGTCTTAAATGCATATCTTGCAAATATATTTCATTAGGAATATTATACTGATTGTCATTGCGAGCGAGTACGCGTCGATGGAAAGTACGTTTTTATCGTAAATATGCTTGAGAGGAGAAGAGAGCATATTTGAATTGCGTTGTTTGTCTGGTTAACAGAAATAGTTTCTAATTTCGTTCAAAAACTGTGTTACTTTCGTTTCGAGCGTGCGATATATATTACATTTGAACTTTATTTTTCTACTTGATCTTTAATTAATTCGTCGGCTAATTCTCGCAGAGAAATTCGTCTCCCGTTTGCTTTTATCCACCCCCCCATACCCGTTTCAACAAGAACTTTCGAACGTCAAACTTAACATTCAGTAAATAAACTTTCACAAGAATTTTTCACGTGGATTTAATTTAACGTTATCCAATTTTTCAAGTTTAAGAGATTACTCCAGCTAAAAAGTTCTGTGTGCACGATAGTTCAACGGAGTTTCTTCGGTCTGTCCAGTTGACAGACGCAGCGAACAATTAAATTATTGACAGACTGACCGATACTGAACGTGAGAAAACAACGGAGGCCGAGTCGAGGGTGCAACGAGACGACACTTTGGTCGGCCGTATGTTTTTCAATAAAATGCGATAAAAAACCGAGCTCGCTATAACTGCAGCTTTATTTCTCGTTGCACGTGTGCAACCCCAATTCCCAGCAGCGTTCATTCATCCTTAAAGCTATCTGCTTCGAGGCACGCGCACCTGCCACCGCGTCTCCACCTCACCCCCCCCCCCCCAATATTAAGATTCAAACGCGATTTTCTGACTTTCAATATTATACTCGCTGGCTGCTACAGCCGCGCCTTTATCTCGTCCGCGAATTTATTGAACTGTCTACTTTGTTGCAACATCCGGGCTATTTCGTATTTCGTCGTCGTATCGCCGTTTTCCTTTGTTAAGAATGTTGGTCAATCTCAATGGAACGCAGAAGTTAGACTTGTTAATTTCAAATTTTTGCGATTGTTTAAATTAATTGCAGTTTATCTACGAAATGAATTTATTTTCAGAAATTTATTTGTCAGACAGATATAAATAATCGTGGATTTTAGGGGAAATGATGCTTTCTCTAAAGTTGTATAAATAGAGTATCTGAGTGATTGATCTAAGTAAGAATTATAAAACATATTCCTACAGTAATAATAATTTGATATAAACGACCAAAGTATATCTATGTGTCGATATACGATTGTTTTAGTCGTCGATTAATAATACGAGTTTAGCTGTACATGCATAAATAATTGGTCGCCTGATCCAGTTTCATTAAAAGCTCGATATTTTTGTTATTTTGTTGCAAAAATATCCAAATATTTATTACACGCGGTATTGCGCACGTCGTTGATCGCGTAAATATAAATTCATGCAAAAATAAACTACTCGTGAGTAAGTAAATTTTTAGAGTAACAAACAAACGGCGAATTTTCATGCATTTATGCATGATTGAGAAAAATATGAAAACGTCTACAGCTGAGTATAAGTTATCATAGCATTTCCTTAATGAAAGGAACTTCCTTCTCTCTACTTAAGTCCCATTTCAGATTTATACTCCTATTTTACGTCCACAAAAGTATAAAAATGCCTAGGAATCCGCAGCCTGATGATTCTTCTAACCCTTTGCCCTCGACAAACTTTTTTTCTTCGTATCGTACCAGCAACTTTGTAAATGAAATGACATAGCACCAGAAATAATTATTCAATTGGTACATTCAACACGAAATTTCGTTGATTATATATTTCCAACGTGTGACATCATTTTAAATTTTAAAGTGCATTGCAGGTTTGCTGAAACAAGCATAATACACAATCTCTGGAAGAACTATGTCCTCCATCATTTCTTGAACTTTCGTAAGAAGCAATGGGAATTTATTTATGTGTAATTAACGAATGTCAATTGACTCGGGGCGCTGTCTTCTGAAATTCTTTTTCTCTCCTTATAGTCGTTATTACAGCTTTCACTTTAGCTCAGATACTCTGTTCAGACATTATACTATTATACATCGCTTCGTACAACAGCAGATGTGTATTGTTCATTATAATTGTCAGAAAATTATAAAAAAAAGTCCGAGCTGTTGCCTAGATTTAACTACGATATATAAAGTCGAGTGCAAAGAGCTGGAAGAACGAAGAACACGGAAAGAACGAAATTATCAATCAGGCTAACGCAACGTGCACGATCTTGATACTTTGATCAATTGCACGAACTGATGCGTTAAAACTGATAGCCCCGTTATATAAATCAACTTCAACGGTTCGAGATTGAGATCACTTTTAAAGTAAAGTGTTTATTACAATTATTATATATTTATTATTATTTATTATTTATTATTTAAAGTAAATTTATTATTTATTATTTATTATTTACAGTAAATTTATTATTTATTATTATTTATTATTTAAAGTAAAGTGTTTATTACAATTATTATATATTTATTATTATTATTATATTTATTATTTATTCCTTTATTACAAAGGAAATGTCAGTGAAAGGTGACAAGTGAAACCCAGTGCCCGCCTTCGCTAATTCGATAACGATTACGACCGAAGTTCGCACCTGGGTCGGAGCAGCGTTACGCGAAAACGTTAGGAAATCGCGAGTCGCGAGTCGGTGTTATTTCAGATTGGTCATAAAAAGCGACGAACGTCGACGCCGGTGAGGAAATTGCGCGCGTGGTGATCGGGCGGGGCGGGCTAATAATAATGTAGAACGGCCGAGTGAAAATAGCGCAACAAGTGCAATTGCAGCAACGACAGCTGCAGCTGCTGCAGCGGCCCGCCACGTATTATATTAGAAATCCGGCCGCATTATCCCACGGCCGAGTTTATTCCTCCAGAGCTCTATTACCGCGGTGTAGACTCTAGACTCCTGCCACCGTATAACGGTCTCCTGCTTACCTCTCATTGTTTATCTCGAGGATTTTCTTATCTGTTGTCTTCGATGCTGCTGGGAGGCTTCTTACGCTCTTTGCTCCCCTTTGCTGTCCCTTCGAATCGTGGTTCGTTACTAAAAAGAAGAAGAGATTTTTAGATTCATTGGAACGAGGTTACAGGTGCTCTGCATTATGTTTACCGCGGGTAATGTCTGCTCCGTGTCATCAGATATAAGAATTACAAAGAAGATAAGAATTATATTTATTAGTATATTTATAGACGCTCACTGGCTATCATTAAAAATAACTCGTACTGTGAAAATGTTCTCTCATTGTGAAAATCTATATGTAATATATCTATATATGTAATATATAATTATGTTATAACAATCGTATAATGAAGACTACTAAGCTGTTCTGTCGATTGAAAGTTTTATGAAGAAAAGAGTATCTGCATGGTACAAGCCATTATTTTTAATCAATAGTGATTAAATTAGTTCTTAAACCTTTCGTGTAGTATTATATTGTGTTATATTTGCTTTGTGTTTCATTCACAGTTAGTATCTAGTATATACTAGAGAATATACAGTACACTAAAGAATAGTATATATTTAAATCAAGACAAATTTATGAACTACAGTCGGTCGTGTAGACTTCAGTGATGTAGGTCCATCATTGGTCAGTCAGAGAGAATTTTCCACTCTGTGAGATGAAATAGTTACATCTACGACTACATAGTGTACGTACATCCTACTGTTTGATGATTAAATCAAATTACCATTATTATTATCAACATTACTACTGTTATTTTTTTTTTTTTTTTTTACTGTGACGAAGGTGTTCAAGGGTTCGATTGTTTCAGTTGAAGTATTTTTAATCGTCTTTTGAATTATCAAAAGACTTAGGAATCTTACAGAATTTCAATCTTGGTTTTCTCACACTAGTTGGATATTTATTGACCACTCCTTGATAAGAATCGGCATTTAAGAGGTATTTAAGGTTTCTTCCGTGCGAGTTCGCGACAGTAATCTATGCTGTATCTTTTTCTAAATGAATCGCTAGAATTTAGAACTGGATCTTATCGAAAGAGCGATGGAGAATGGAGATTTGGAGAAAGAAATATTCATGAGATAAATCTAGGAATCTACGAAAGAAACGATAAGGAAAGGAAAAAATTAGGTAGAATTTAGCAAATTTAGTTTTTCTTAAAGCACACAGAAAGGAAAAGAGTTAAATAACTTGTTGACTCGTATCAATATTAATATTAAAAACAATTCTATAATTAAATATTAAATGTTTTAAAAACATTACATTATTGTGTGTGTGTATCTCTATGTCTTGTACATTCCATTTTTTTTCACTACGGATCTTTTTGTACATTTTAAAGTACAAAATTTCACGAAATGCGAAGAGAAATACATAAAATGTTTTCTACAATTTGTACCAAAATCTCTAAAATCATTATTTTCAAAAATATGAGTTTACAAATCCAGTCGCGTCGTCTAGCACTCCGATAGAATTGTTTCTCTGAAATGACGAAACATTTCGTTTTACTCGACGAAGAGATCAAGAATTGGGTGATTGATTAACGCGAGGATACGCGATACAGAGAATTCCGTATCGAAACGGTCCCCTAACGAGGACGTACAAAAACAGAACATAAATCAGGATGGACATTAATTTTGTTTTCAGCGCCGATGGCAACTACGAGGTGACCATTATGACCAAGGCAATTTTGAACCATACGGGGAAGGTGGTGTGGAAACCGCCAGCGATCTATAAATCATTTTGCGAGATCAACGTGGAGTACTTCCCCTTTGACGAGCAGACTTGCTTCATGAAATTTGGTTCGTGGACTTACGACGGGTACACGGTGAGTAATATTGAGATTTAACCAACAATCCACGTTCGTTTCACACTCGATTAATCATCGTCCTAGTATTTGACCGAAAAACGTCGTATTATAATTTAGAATATACGTTGTGAGACAGTTTTTAATCGTAGGATTATGTTTAGACTTAGACCATGAATATTTGATAGGTCTTGTTTTGACCTTTGAATTTTTGTATATTTCAATCTCACTCTAGCGAGAATATACAAGAGAATTTCGTAATGTCCTAAAGAAGAGAAATTTTAGTATACTGCAATTGAAACTGAACAAAATTCTTCTGAAGTTCTTAAAAATTTTCCCGCCTTTTAAAAATTTGAATTTCACACGTATATAAGATAAGAATGAAAGTAAATAAGTGTAAAAGTAAAGTGTAAATTAAAAATTACTTGTGTTCAATATTAAAATCAATACAATGAAAATTATTTGATTGGATATTAAAATAAAATTTGTTAAAAAGAGTGATAGATTTTGATAAATTAAAAGAGGCTATATGGAACATTGTGAGATATTCTACATAAAGATATTTTATTATTTATTTTTATATATATATTTATTATTATATTTATTTCAGAAGAATAAAAATAGTTTATAAAAATTATACAATGGAAGAAAACAATTTCAAGATTGTGATTTGTATTTGATGTTTTCTTTCAATCATAATAGAGACTATGTAATCGTAGTAGATACTACATATCTTAAAAATTACATAATAATTCAAATTTGAAAACTAGTAAGACTAGAATTTAAATGTTCATTGATATAGTATTCAGTTTCGTGTCAGAAAAGTCCGAACAACAAGTCTCGTAAAAAATAGAGATGAGATGAAACAGAGATAAGTGAGAAACATAATTCTGAAGAGAAATATGATAATTTCGAAGTTTAATGCTAGTATTTTACATGAATTTTACAACGGAGGGCTCGTTTCAATCAAGATAAACGAATTTATATCGTGCGATACATGGACGCTTGTAATGGTCACGTTGCCTTTGAATCTTTCTTCCGCGGGCGTTTTAGTCGCGTTGATCTTTGACGTGCGTTTGTTACGGGCGGTATTCGCGAAAATCAAATAACTGAAATTCTCTCGCAACGCAGTCGTTTCCCCCTTTACGCGAAACATTCTCCAAGCACGTTGTTACGCGTACAGTATCAAAACTAAGGACACAAAGCTGCTTGTAAAACTTTATGCTAAATAAAACCGCCGCTTTTTTTCTTTCATTTCTTCGTGTGTCGAAGTGTGATAAAATCGATTATCGAAGTAATAACTTAATTTTATTCTCTCAGGCTGTGCAGTCATGCAGTATCATTCACGTGATGCTCGTGACGCAGTATATCAGGCAAACAAAATCATTTTATAATTTTCTAAAATTTTTTGTAATTTTGTAAAATAATCATATATATGATTTGACACGAAGTAATGTCAAACGAGCAGAATATTTTCTATTATATTATTAATATTTTACTCTATTGCATTATTATTTTCTATATTATTTTTTATTATTATTATTATTTTAATTGTTATCTATATTACTTTTATTCTATTACATTATTATTTTCTATATTATTTATTATTATTATTATTATTTTAATTATTACCTACATTATTTTTATTCTATTACATTATTATTTTCTATATTATTTATTATTATTATTATTGCAATTATTATCTATATCATTTTTATTCTATTACATTATCATTTTCTATATTATTTATTATTATTATTATTATTTTAATTATCATCTCTATCATTTTTATTCTATCATATTATTATTTTCTATATTATTCTTTATTATTGTTAATACTTTCCATTATATTATACATTATATATTTGAAATTTGAGAAGAATTTCGCGTGCTTTTGTCAAGTCAGTTTTCCACCGAGGGGAACAAGACGGACCGGCAGAGATTGGCGAACGTTCGAGAATATAATTTACCTCGGGGAGGGAATGGCTCGGACATTCTCCGGATTCGTACGTGAAATAGTAACGAGTACGTTGGAACGAGAGTAACGTTGGAAAAATTGTTAAGACGTTCCTCTGCGACGAGAGAGACGTTGAACGAGAGATCGGGGGAACGAAGTAAAGAAATTTCCTTACGTCGGTGGACAAGGCGGCGCTGAAAAGGGCAGAGAATCGAGAAAGAAAGAAACGGGGCTGTGGACTCTCTGAATCGCGTTACAATGCGACCGAAGATATGCAAGAACGCATCAATGGAACGCCGACCGAGTTCTCCTTAGAACGCGAGCACTCCGAGCGATGTCGAACGTGCAGCTTCCCTCTGTCCGATGGATTTATTACATTTATAATATCCCCGTTTTCTTCTTCCCTCGTTGCTTCGTTTCGACGCCAGGATCGTTTTTATTGGAACTTTTAGCAACCGTTGGCCGACATTCTCTTTCCCTCTCTTGAATCAGAATAACTCGTGACACAAACATACACAGTACGTATATGGCGAACACACATACTGACTACTATACGCATTGAATATACAAATTGAACACACGCGCGCTGAGACACGTGTACACACGAGGTATAGTGAAATCTCGTCACAGCCTGTGTTAATCCAATCTCGGCGAATTTTTCATTCCAAGTACGACAAAGTCGCGGATCTAGCTCTTGGAGGGAAAATTCCCTTTCGCGAGGTAACTTTGAAATGGATGTGAGAAAAATCGGCGAAATATTTCGTAGAGTAGTACGAATTTGTAGAATTTCAAGAGAAAAAAGAGCCTCGCTCTGTAACAAAAAAAAAAGGGCCTTTGAAAGAACGAAGTTCAAAAGGTAGAGGGCTTCATCCTTTTGAAATTTAAAGTTTCACACTCCTTTTCAACGCTTGAAGATCGATAACCGATCCTCTAATTTTAAAGAGTAGTCGCGAATAAATTAAATCTCTAACAGTCAATCCTAAACTCCTACTTAAAACAAAAAAAAAAAAAAAAAAATATAGAAACGTTTTGTAATCTCGCGATAACGACGTGGAAGAGCTTTGAATTTCCAGAGTGAACCGACCAGAGATCACACACAGAACCGATGATATTTTGATATTCCTCGGGGAGTTTGATTGCATTAGGGGCTCGGTCATATTTCGACTCGGGTCCGGTTGCGGTCCAATGAAGTATCCCTTAAGAGACCGATCCAGTTATAAATCCGGTCACGTTCAGCTTTTGCCTCGGTTTCTTTCGCCGATAAAAAATTCTCCGACGAGCAACCATATATCCACTCACATTTTTCATCCCTCCGTCTGACCCGTGTCGACTCTTTGAAACGCACGTACGCAAGGAGAGTTCGATGTTTAGGGAAAGGCAGAATCTTGTACCGGAACGAAAACTGAATTCTGTCAGATTTTTTTTTTTTTTTTCTTTTTCGTAGCCTGACGTTTCATCGGACACTCTGATAAGGGATCATCGTCGAAACCGAACTTGCCAAATTGGCTGAAACTTGACGCGTTTGTAGGATTGTTTCGAGAATAACGAGAATTTTTAAAATTTCATAATAACAATATAATAAAATATAGCAAATATTATAAATATTAATATAGTACTATAGTAATATTATTAAATATTAATATAGTAATTAGTAAAGTAAAATTTTATAAAATGGCATGTGCTAATGAATTTAATGATCGATCATCATAGAAAACTTTCTATACTCACCTTTAATTAAAGTGTTGATGTTCAAGTAGATTCAGCGAATAAATAAAATGGCGTAAAGGAAACTCTAGAAGTAGAAAGAAGACCTGTTTCAAAATTTTGTTAATTTTGTTTATAGCATTTAATGTTACGTTTAGTTTTGGCTATTAAATTTTCATTCGAGTTATCTTTCACTACATTTTATATTTTGAGTGTCAAAGACGAAAAAGTGGAAATCACTTCACAAATACATCATGTTCCATCCAACATTCATCGAGTTCAGCTTCGCGACGTATCCTTGTGAATTTTTCATTTATCCTTCGCTTTCCTTTTCGAGTTATTTCGTACTTTTATCTATACCTTTTTCAATGCATTTGCTGTTGTTCATTCGTGCTCGAAATTCCTTGTTATTAAGCAAGAACAATCAAATTCGATCTTTTCTTGACCTGACAATTATTTATGCAGTGTGTATATCGGAACACTTTCGCCAAGATTAAACAGAGACACCGATTTCGAACTCGCCGATCGGATCTCGCCAAATCCGGAAGCTCCAATCTACCCAAGCGTTCTCTCCTTCTCCTCCTCGCTTCAAGTCGAGCCGATACAAATTCATCGCGTGGAATATAGATGAACCGGAAAGATGGGACCGCGTGAGTCATAGAATTCCTGTTGGACCTCGTTCCTCGTTTGCACCGGGAGAAAACGTTGCGCGGCAGTGAACTTTTCACGTCGCGTCTAAACTATTTATTACGTTAGAAGTTACGCTGACAGTTCTACTCCCCGGTGGTTCTCCTTTCTTTCCGTTCCGAGCCACCAGTCGCGAATCCTCCCGAGCCACCTTCGAAGCGGAGGATCCTCGAAGCGATTCGAATGCTTCCTGTATTTCGCTGCTGTTCGAATAATTCATACTGCTGCAGAACCACCGCAAATCTTCGATGAATTACTTAACCGTAGGCGTTGCTCGGCCGTTTCTTTCCTCGAGCTCGCACGCGGCGGGAATTGTTTGCTCGTTGCTCGTTGAAATTTCATCGTAGCGATCGCAAACATTGTCCGGAATATAAATTTATTTTATATATATATATATATAAATAAAATTTTATGAAAAAAGTATGTTTTAGTAATAATTAAAAATTAATAATGTTACTTATAGTTTAAAGTAATGAAAATGAATTTTTTTAAAAATAAATGAGGAAAATTTATTTTGTATCTTTTGTATCAGGGTTAATTAATTTATTTTAATAATTATCTCGAAAGTAAATGATCTAAATATATATATATATAAATAAAATTTTATGAAAAACATATGTTTTAGTAATAATTAAAAATTAATAATGTTACTTATAATTTAAAGCAATGAAAA